CTTTCTTCTTTTCATTCTCCTGACTTCATTTTCTACTTCCTTTTTTTTAAAGAAAATTTATTATTTCATTAAAAAACATTTTAGGATGCTTTGTTTATTTTATTTTTTTTAAAGAAATCACATATAAATGCAATACACTCTCATGATTTCCATCTAGTACAAGTTACATTTCATCTGGGTTTTCTCGTTTGTTACCTTTATAGGTAAAGGTACGTTTGGGTAAGAATGGTGGTGTCCGGGGAACATATACTGAAGCATTAAAATTGATTTGCATTTTGAAGAGAAGTATAGTGTCTAAATTGTGAACGTTCAACATTTTATCATGAAATAGTTAACAGCAGTAATTAATTTTTAATAAACTCTGATTCTGACATATTATGGATCAGGATGGCTGAATTTAAAAGTCAGCATTCTGTGCTGCACCATGTTTCCATCTTGTGTTTATTTCACTATGATGGAATTAGCAGAATGCTCTTTTTAGTTATTTTCAGTAGAAGACAACAGTTTGTAGTATAAATCCCACAGAATTTAGCCAGCGAATCATCCAGCATGAGCTTGTCTATTTGTGTGAATGGGGTTGGATGACCCTTGGGCCACACAAGTTTAAACTGGAGACAAAGTACAATCTAGTATGTTCCTATAAAGTTTTTAATGATCCATTTAGGTGATTGTAGCTGCAATTACAGGGAATGTTGTAGTTCATTTTTCATTTGTTCATATATACACACTTTATTTTATATACAATCAGGATGCATAACTCAGTAGTTATGACAGAGTTACCCAAGACTATCAGGGCTTTGCGAATTAAAAAGTGTTCTTAATAACCTTGCATTTCTTTTTGAAGAACCTATAAAAAGGAAAGATGGCTTGTCAGAGAGGCCAAGGATAACCAGAGCCCCAGAGGAGGAGCATCCCTGCTCCTGGCTGTGCCTCCGACTCATCAGCTGCTGCCTTTGTTCTCAACTGTCCACTAAAGCAAGGACTTTTTCTGTTTCTGCAGGGGACCAGGCGCCACCTTTAGGAGGAACCCTCTGACACTCGGCACAGTTAATACTGGAGTCAAGCCTGGAGTTCTTCCTTAGAGCAGGTTGTTAGCTTAAGAGTCTATAGTCACAGACTATCCTTTGTGTGTCCTTTTTGGCTAAAAACTCGGCTCCTTCAAGTCTGAATGCAGAGCAGGTGTTCTTGGTGAAGACCCAATACTTAATTGCCTCAGCCACTATTTTGTTTACCAAGTGCTTAAGTAATACTTACTCTTTGCCAGATGCGTGCAAAACACCTTACAAATAATTAACTCCTTTAATCCTCACGATGACTCTAAGATAGATACTGTGACTATTCCTATTTCACAGATGAGTGAGCCACATGCCTAAGGTCACAGAGTTAGAAAGGGGCAGAGCCAGAATGAGAACATGAACAGTCTGCTCCAGAGTCCAGGCCCTTGCCCACCATCTCTTATACCCTGCATATGGGTCTCTCTTCTGGAACCTACACTCTCACATGCCCTGGCTGGTGGCTCTAGGCCAGTCTGGGAGGATGCTTCCTTGGAATAGCTAAACTCTACCTTATACCAACACCGTCCCCTATTCTCACCGTGCAGTTGAAGCACAGTGCACATCTGGCTGGGCTGTGTGGTATCTCTGAGCAGCAGCACTTCTGCTCACTCCCTCTTACGGGATGCCTGTTTTTCTTGTTAATGGGATGGTCTCCTGCCATATTTCAAGGTGGACCTCACTCGTCATCTCCTCTGCCTGCTGCCTACTTCTGGAGACTCAGACGCTTTGTACACATACACCCCAACACTTTTCACTGGACCATGGCTCTCCTGTGTCAGCTTTAAGCCCCATTTGAATATTTTTGGAATAAATCTAAGATTTGGGGTTTGGCTCAATAGGCTCTAGAGCCTGATATTTCTGGATGGTGTGGGGCCCAGGTCCCATTCCCTCCTCTAATGAAACCCTGTGGAAGTTTTTAAAAAGCTGACCACCTTTTGAGCAATGTCTCCTGGCCATTATGCCTGCCCTGCTCCCTCTCAGATGGGTCAGTCAATCTGCTGAAGTCATGCTTATAACAATAATGAATTGTTCTGGAATGCAACCTTCAAAATGAAGTGTGTCCCTAGAAAGACCTCACTGCTTAATTTTGAAAGACATTGGTTTTTTTTGAAGTCTGACAACATGCTAAAACAAAAGCAAAATCAAAAATTCAAAACACTACCTCAAAAGAATATTAATTTCATGCTAAATATGCCTACCCTATTCTCATGAACACACAACATTTGTATTTCCATATGAGCTGAAAGCACCAAACAGTTAAGAGTTTCCTTAGTAATTTGTTTTCTGTTATGGCCTCTCCCAGTAATCTGTAATAGTTTTGGAAAATTAAAATAACAATGTAGTCCTATAATCATAAAAATCTACAATAATCTTTAGTCAGCCTGGTTTGAGTATTTGAAAAATAGATATATTAATTTCACATGCAAACTGAGGGTCAGAAAATGTCAAAAAATCAGTCTATAAGTCAAGTGTATATTACAACAAAGTTTTTAATGTTTTAAAGAATTCTTGTGCTTAGTACACTTAAGTGCACCTGATGTGACTAATTCCTGTGTCTTTAGTATGCTAGAGTCACCTCTCACTTCACTGGGAAGTAAAACTTAAGATGTGTAAGAAAAGAAAAGGAAAAAAAATATTTTTGGTTAAATAAGCGATTGGTCAGGCAAACCTTGTCTTGGAACCTGTGCTCAGAAGCCTTCATCTACATCAAGGGTTTTTGGGTCCAACAGAGACAAGTAGTGCTCAGAACTGGTGCTCAGAAACTTGGACTCAAGATAAAAAAGTCCTTCACAGGTGTATGCTTGTGTGCTGTACATTTGTGTTGGCTCTGAGGGTGATTTAAGAAGTGATTGAAATAATATGGAATTTTTCTTTTCCTTTGCACTCAGGTAGTATGAGGCTATAGTTTGTGAAAAACCAAAGAGAACAAATAAATGATCAACTGCTATGTTTTTAATGCATGTTTGAATATTGTCTGTCAAAAAATTTTCCTTGGCTAAAGAGGCTTGAGTTTTAGTCCTTTCCCACTTGCTAAGTGCTGTTAAGCACAGTTACTTTATATTTTTGTCTTTTTTTTGTTGTTGTTGTTGTTATTGTTAAGTGTTTGCTTGCAAATTCTGGTGAGTTTTGATGAAGTGACATTTTAAAAGTAATTTGAAAAAGGCGAATGAACCCATTGCTGCAAAATGAAGTCACCAAGGGTAGTTGGCTTACCTTTAAATCACTGCACTATTGAATCGAACATAAACTTCTTTTGTCAACAGACTAAATGGAGTGAAGAGGTGTCTATATCCCAGGTGTTTATTCCAGAAAGAAATCAGCTCTTTCCTGGTGAATAGGGTGGTACACAGGAGTTCTTGCTTTATATTTCATTTACTCAAGTTCTTGAAATGAAGTTTGCTTGAGAGCCTTTGTAAATATTCTTTTTCTACATGATAAAGGTTTCCTGTGCAAATTTGTAAAGTGCCAGAGAAGGGAGGTTTAAATCTGTTTGCTGACACTTTTAAATTAGAAAATTTACACATATTATAATTTTACACACAACTTTACACGTATTATAATTTTGCACATATTGTAAGTGCAGCCATGCGAGAAACCACCACCAATCTCAACTTGAATTTATTCTATTCACTTACTACCTGGAAGGCTTTTTTCCCCCCAGTGCAATTAATTAAGCAAACAGGACCAACGTTGGTACTTGTGACAGATTATAAGAACAAAGGCCCTTGCACTGGTGCTTTCATGGGTCTCATAAGTAGATATTCCTCATAAATCCTGCATAACAGATCCTTTGATTCGCTCTCAAAAGCTTTATCCTATTCCAACTGGTACTCATCACCACGGGAGGCTTGTTACTTGCAAATTTCTCTATTGCTGTTTTCATTTCCGATTCAGTAATAGAGCCAATCAGTTTCTCATTATCCAGAAGATCTAGTTTTGGCATTTTAATTTTAGCCAGAATTTTCATAATCTCTGTTATCAGCTGCTAACTCTGATGCAAATATCAGTTTGGAGGAAAAAAAAAGAAATAAAAAAGGGACTTTTTACATTATGGCTATCTAACACTCATATAGAGACCCTATTGAAAAAAAAAACATAATTTTTTTTCCCTTAATCAACAGGAATGTGTTGTCTCAATATTCTGGTAGGCTAGCACTCTGAGATCAAGATGTTGGCAGGGTCTTGCTCCCTTGGAAGGTGCTAGGGAAGGATTTTCCAAGCCTCTGGTAGTTTCTTGACTTGTGGCAACATAACTCTAAACTTCACCTGGTATTCTCCCTGTCTGTGTGACTATGCCCATATCCCCCCTTTTTATAAGGATACCACTCATATTGTTAGAGTTTATAGTACTCCAGTATGACTTCATCCTAACTTGTCCTTTCTAACATCTGCAAAGATCCTCTTTGCAAGTTAGGTTATATTTAGAGATACAATGGTTAGGACTTCAATGTAGGAGTCGTGTGTGTATACTGGGGGCTGTGGGGAGACCCAATTCAACCCAAGAGATTTCTTGATTGTTCAGCTTTCTTTGAATGTCACTGCCTTCTTTCTGCATTTGAAGCAAGTTCTGGTTTGAACAGAAAACATATCCATGCCTGCTTACTCCATCACAGACTTGAGACTCCAGAAGTTCACATACCTTGGGGCCATTGAAATACTGTGCTTTTGTGTAACCATGACCACTATATGCAAATGAGACAGCAAAGAGCAGAGACAGAACATGCCCATGTGTGTGCCTCATTTTCCCTTGGATTCTGCTTATAAAACCGAACTTCAAAGACAAAAGTGTTAAGAATTTCAGAATAGCAATACCTGAGCTTTAAACCAAGCATGAGGCCCTTCTGTGTGCAACTGCATTGGGTGGGGGGAGGGTATGCATCAAAATGTGGGCTTTCTGGTTTTGATGTTTATTAACATATTAGTTATTTGACATTGACAAATTCATTTGACCTTGATATAAAATTTAATGAACTTGTATTAAGCAAATCACAATATATAACACTAATCTTTAAAATTTGTTAAAATTCTACATCAAGTATAGAGCCACATTTGGTATTGTCAGGATCATGGAAAACAGGTTTGGTTCCAGTCTTATGGGGGTGAAGCCCCAGTATGGTAGAGCCCAATTGCAAGCACTGGTGTAACAATTTGGTGCCAGTCTCCCTCTCTCTTCATCTTCATCATTGTCCTTATGTGTTTCGTAGAAACAAACACAAAACTAGGAGAAAAAATTCAGGAGCTTTATAATTTGTATGATTAGACAGATTTTGCAGAAGTAAAGAAATAACCTTATTGTGATAAAATATATTCTTTCAAAAAAGAACTTTGGAAAAATAATCTGTGAATGAATGTAGATAGGCTTTGATGTTCATTTGGCATTCTGTGATCAGGGGCACAATTTTAAACAGCAATATGTGTGAACATGTTAGGGTTCTGTATGATTTACTTGAGGAAGTTTATTTATTTTATTTCCTCTGGTAATCTGGTCTGTCATTTATTCATTTTTCTTTTTTTTTTGGATCTGTGTTCCTGATGGTATAGCCATCTATTCTGGGGAAGCAGTTCATAGACTCCAAGAGTTCTGAGAGGCTCATAGGCCAGTCAATCCAGTGGACACCAGCCTATGTGCTTGAGGACTGGGCAGGGACACTCTGATGTTCTCTATTGGAACCCATAAGCCTTTGCTTAGTCATCAAGAAAGAGATGGGACACTGTAGTCACTGGGAAAAGCAAATGGTTACCCTTGGCCCTTGATGGCTACAGCTGTTTCAATCTGAGTCAGCAGGAGATATCAATGACACAGGAAATGTATTTTACACAAAAGGAGAGGAACAATCACCAGTTGGTCTGCCTTCTGTGCTTCTGCCTCTGGCTAATGTGCAAAGTACCAATTCTTTCCTAACTCTGCTGTTTCTTGCTTTAGATTGTCTTGGCCACTCCTTAGTTAACCCCCCAGGGATATAGTCATCTGAGAAAGTAGGTTCTGATGGGGTCAGTGGTGGTGGTGCACAGGGGGCAGGGGGTCTCCAGGGGTTATCATGAGTCAGAACAGGAGTGTCCTGCATACTGTAATTGGGCCACCATGTGAAAGAGTGTCATAGACAAAGATGGTGTGGATGCCATATGTGGTCCTTACACATTACTCTTCTTGTGGCAATCAGCATCATCAAACATGAATGACACTAGCTAGGAATGGGCCATTTCTGCCTGAGAGAGTCAAAGGAAGTTTCTAGAATAGAAACTTCTGAGATGAGGTTTGTGGAGTGAGTGGCTCATCTTGTGAGGGAACAAAGAGACCAGAGAGGATAACCAGACCATTCCTGTTGGAGCTTCATGCAGAAGCATGAGTCTCGAGAACACAGGACATGATTGTGGACATGCAGAGGTGAACTGGTGGGACTGCAGCACGAGGTGCATCAGAAGAGGGGGGTAAGAAGCAGACGAAGTGTGAGCTGGGGTCAGGATAAGAGCCTTCTGTCAGTGTAAGCAAGCTTGCAATCTATCCGAGTGGGTGATTTTTAAGAACATTTACCCATTAAGCACCTTCACCTATTTAGTGATGCTAACTCTGGTGGCCTCAGAAGGAATGAAATGGAGAGGGGGCTGGGAGGGAGACCTTTACAGAGGCAATGGTGTGACTGATGCCAAGGACCTGAACCAAGACAGTGGTATTGAGGCCAGATACTAGATTTGAGACAAAATTCTGAGTTAGAAGCAATTGGGCTTAGAAAATGGGGAAAAACAGATGGGCTGACTTTAAGGTCTTGATCTTAGAGATTGGAGAGACGGTTGTGTCTTGAACAAAAACATTCAGGCAGAAGACAGGTTGGATTAGTGTGGATATGCAATTTTTTTTAATATTTATTTTTTAGGTGTAGATGGAATACAACAAAATGCCCTTATTTTTATGTGGTGCTGAGGATCAAACCCAGGTCTTGCCCATGCTAGGCGAGTGCTCTACCTCTGAGCCACAATCCCAGCCCTGGATATGCAATTCTAAATGGTAGATACCAACCCCCAGCTCCACACAGGGACAGAAGCTCTTCTGTCTCTAGGACTTGAGCCTGCCCTGCCCCCGTCCCTGTGACTCCCACCAGAAGATGGTGGTCTTTTCTGTGCAGTGGATAGGAGGGCGGTGTTTAGCAAGGTGTAATTTTTTCTTCCAATAGAAATGTACTTTTTAGCTTTATAGAAAGTCGTGGAGACAGCATAGAAATTTCCCATGTGTTGTGCACCCAATTTCTCCTATTATTAGAATCTTAAACTAGTGTGGTGCGTTTGCTTGATAAATGAACCAATGCCATCTGTACATTATTTTCACTAAAGTCTATAGTTGGTTCAGATTTCCTCAGCTTTTACCCAACGTCCTTTTCCTGTGCCAGGATCTCATCCAGAATCCATGTGACATTCAGCTATCATGTCTCCGTAGGCTCCTCCTGGTTGTGACATTTTCTCAGACTTCCCTCGTTTTGGATAACCTTGACAGTTTTGGGGTCAAATACTCATCCCTCAGCTAGGATCTGTATGATATTTTTCTCAATATATTGGGATGACAGGTTTTGAAAGGGGATCACAGAGCTGGAATATGATTCTCAACACATACATCAAGGGAAATTTTGTTAACATGACTTACATGGCTGTTGATATTCACCTTGATCGCCTGATTTAAGTCATGTTTGTCAGGTTTCTCTACTGAAGAGTTACTCTTTTTTTTTTTTTTTTAACTATCTTCCATACTGTACTCTTTGGACAGAAGTTACTATGTGTGGCCTTATGTGAAAGGATGGGCGGGGGGAGCATAAAATGCCTCACTCTCCAGAGGGTAAAATATCTACATATATTTGGAATTCAGCAAGGAAATCTGTCCCTTTACTAGTTTATTCATTTAACCATTTATTTATGTGTGTATGGACTCATGGGCATCTATTTTATATTAAAGTTCTGCCTGGGGAATGTGTGGGGGGATGGGGTAACAGAAAGTGGGAGGTCCTGAGTTCTGTGTTTAGCAATTGGAAGATGCTCTGCATTCCTATGAGAGAGGCATAATGCATGATGTGTCCAAAGAAGATTGCTTTGGAACTCCATGATTTGCACAGTTTCACTCATTCATTCATTTAACAAACTTTTATGAAACCCTATTCTATCTCCTGCTTCTGAGTAAGCATGATACATGATGGGAAAAGAAACTGAAATGTACTGAGCACCCGCCTGGCTCATGACACTTTACACAATTGATTTCACTCAATCCTCACACCAGCCCAATGAGAGACTATTGTGATCAACATTTTATACATAAGAAAACTGAGTTTGTTCTGGAAGCAGCCTGTTGTCATGTGAGAAGCCCAGCTACCCCCAAGAGTTGATGCTGGGAGGTAGTCCAAGCTCAACATGTGGCCATATCTGACCAGCTCCCAGTTATTCCAGTCATTTTAGCCCAAGAATAGAACCAGTAATCTGATGGTTACTGCCAGCGTCTGACTGCAGCTGCAGAAAATCCTGAGCAAGAGGTACCCAATGGGGCTCGCCAAACACTCAGAGCAATGACAGGTAAATACATCATTGTTTTAATCCGTGGAGTTTTGGAGTAGTTTGCAGTAACACATAATGGAAACACCAGAATAAAAAGGAATTCCCTCTCTGCACTGTATCCCTCTAGTAGTGTGTACAAGGATCCTAGTGAGGTTAAAAGCATGAGTAGTCATTATGTTAAGGATGTTGTGGAGGCCTGGCCTGAGCTGGGTGCTTGTGGACATGGGGAAGAAGCAGCAGAACTGGATGCCATCTTAAGAGTACTTGCATTGAAGGAGAATAGAACTCGATTAGGGCGTTGCAGAGGGGAAAGATTGTTATCAGTATTGAATTGTCAATTGCCTTTTCACTTCCTGGTTGTCTAACCTTGAACAAATTCCTTAGCTCTGATTCTCAACATCCTTATCTTTAAAGTTGAGATGATTTGATGATAATCATAGATCAAAAAAAGATAACCAAGTACTCCATAATTATGTTCCCATAATTTTCTGAACGTATCTTGGTTATAGCACCCGTTACATTGCATTTGAATTGCTTATTGGCTGCTCTGTCTCACAAGTAGACTCTGAGCTCTCCTGGCCTTATAGTTTTGTGTTCTTGCTGATTAGCACAGAACATAAAATAGATATTCCAATAGCTCTTGAATGAAAAGAAGGAAGAGGGTGAATCAATGAGTAAAGTTTAATTGCAATGGAATAATGAAGGCATGGTAAACCATGTCTCAAAAGTACCTAGCCTGTTTGGTTAGGTGTTTAGAAGTAATATTATTTAAAAGGGGGAAAACAGGGCAAAATTCTAAGAGCAAAAGGAAATGATTGGTAGTGACAAATAGGTTGACATAGGTTGACATAGAAACCTGGCCAAGAAAAAAATTTCAGTGTAGTGTTACTTAGCCCCAGAGATTTTTGTTTTCAGTACTAGGGATTGAACCCAGGGCCTTCCATATGCTAGGCAAGCACTGTACCACTGTGCTACCTTCCCATCCCCCCAGATGAGATTTTTAAGGAAGATATGGGCATTGAAGAATACATGCAGTGTTGGAATTGGCAGGGGTGAAAGAAGACACACATATCTCCCCCCACACAGTACATGTTCTGTCCTCTGAGGAGTATATTTAGAGGGAGGTAGGGCTTACCAGATTGTATAACATGTAAAGAACATACTTGCTTGCTCACGCAGTCAGGCAATAGTTAGGAATCTTCATGTTAAGTTCTAGCAACTGTGCTTGGCATGGGAGCATCACAGTGATTGAAACATGTATAGTTTCTCCCTTGTCAAACTTACAGTCAACAGGAGAGCAGGCGTGGAACAAATGAGTATGTGCTTACTACTTGAAATTCGTCTTTTGATGAGGGAGCATGATGGCTGCTGCTTCTTCACCTGTGTCTATTCTGTCCATCTTAATGATGGACTACCTGAGTTTCAGCTGGGAGCCTGACAACCCACCCAACAATTCTTGCAGTTTGTCCAAGTGACAAAGTTATGGCCAATGGTATATAAAGATAATTATTCATGCCACTTCTGGTATACATCCACAGGGGAGGCTTGTGCCTTCCCTTGGTCCTTTATGCCTTCCTGCAAGCTGGAAGATGCTGAGAACCATAAGAGCAGCCTTGTCCTCCAAGATGGAAGCCTTGCACTGAAGGCGGCAGACCTTCCCATACAATCGTTGACTAATGGCTTATCATGTGGCAGAGGAAGGAGCTTCCATGTTATTGAAACCATTGTATCTTTGGATCTCTTTGTTCTTGCTACTTAGTTCGTATCTTAGCTAACACAGGAAACAAAGACTATGCATTAGTTTGCTGAGCTGTCATGACAAATGCCACGGAATGAGTGATTCAAAGAACAATTTTTTTTCCCCTCACAATTCTGGGTGCTGTAATTCTGAGATCAAGACAATGCCAACATTGTTAGCAACATGGTAATGGTGGTTGGTCAGGCTCTGGCATAGACTTATGCCAGAAGGAGAAAGAGACACATTCCTCTGGCCTCCCCTTAGAAGGATCCTATAGTAGCCTCATTCTAAAGGCTCCAGCTTCATTACTTTGTTTAACCTTAATGACCTTCCAAAGGCCCCTTTCCAAATACCATCATCACTTTGAGGTTTAAGACTTCAACATATGATTCAACATATGAGTCTGGGGTGGGGGGAACCACAATTCAGCCCATAGCAGGGGGCAAGAGGGGTCCCAGTTTAAGTGGAGTGGAGGGGCCGGGAAAGAAGTATCTGAAGCTTAATGGTTAAATATTTGGAGGGAGAATGCCCTCGCCTGAAGGTATAGCATGTACAAAACCCCTGAAATCAGAGATCTTTGTACTTTGGCAAGACAGGAACTATGAATAGTGGGTGGGACAAGATGGGAAAATGATTGGGGGGTAATCCCAAGGGAATAAAAAAGTCAATAAAAGGTTTTAGGAAAGGGGTAATGTGGCCTAATTGGGATTCCAGAAGATTCCCCTATCTCTGTTGGAGGACTTTAGAAAGAAAGGATGAGGGATGCTGCCTGGGCTGCTGGTGGTGGTCGTTAGCCCAGAACTGGAGAGAAGCGAAAGGTTGAAGTTATATTCTGGAAGTAGAATTACCAGGTCTTTTTTTATGCATAGAAGAGAGGAGAGGTGACCTTAAGAGGATCTCCAAGTTTTGAGCAGGAAGAGACTGGAGGAAGAAAAAAAAAAAAAGTCAACAGAGGAAGATTAAATGTTTCTTTGGGATGTATTATGTCCAGAAACCCAGCTGACAATTATCAGCTCTGTGACCTTGGGAACATTCCCATTCTGCAAAGAAAATAAGATTTAAAGGTTAAAAATCATGAACTTAAAATCCATGGAGGTGAAACTATGAAACTATGGTCATGAATTCAGGTGCCACCTCCTTATTGGATGACCTTGAGAAAGTCACGTAAATTATTAGAACTTTAGTTTTCTTACACTTAAAAAAATTACAGGATGAATTTGAAATGATGATTTTTATACCTAGCCAGGTGTCTGGCACATTAAGTGATGAATAAATGTATGTCTTTTTCATATTGCTCCAAGTTATTTTCTAGTTGAAACTTACCCAAGATGTCCAATGGGTGCAGAGATCATACTTTAATCCTATGTTTATATTCCAAAACTCAGACAGAGGGGAGCCTGGGACAAATGCAGCCTGTCTTGCCTGGAGTCACGACTCTTGCTCCTCCTCGGTCTGAATGCACAGTCTGGGAGGTGAGTCCTGGAGCAACAACATTGGACTTGGACCCAGGAACTCATTGGTCAGCAGGTTCTGTTTCGCAACTTTCCAGAAGGCAAAAGTGATCATCTGGAAATGCTACCTCAAGAGCTAAGAGTGATGAAAGTTCAACAGATGTCATCACTTTGGATTTTTTCATCTGTGGAAACTGCACCCAGCTTCCCGGCATCTAGGGACATTTGCTCAATGTACCGTGGAGAAGTGGTCTGAGCCTAGAGCAAGAGCACTACTTCCTTAGTAAAATGGCTAATAATGAACAAGGAGACTCCCCAGAGGTGAAACCTGGCTGAGGTATTAGGAATAGTACTCAGCAAAATGCCTCAGGTGAATCATGGATATTTGATGAAAGGACTTGGTCATCGTTGTGATTTTAAAATTCATGCAGTGACCTGGAAATTCTGGAAGATGGTTTAAAAAGTCTTTTTCTTTTCTTCCTCATCTCAAAGTGTGTGGGTTGTGCAGAGTAGATTCCTTCCAAGGAACTGCTCACAGGCAATTGTTCTACATCTAGTGTGACAGAAAGGAAATGAGGTTGCTGGATGTTTATCTGGAACTTGGGGTCCCCTGTCCCCGTGGTACTCTGAAAGGATGTGGGGATGGTGTACAGTTCAGACTGAAGTCTTTGGAAATCCAACACTGGAGGAATGGTGGAAACTTGCCTACCTAGTGTTGTAATGTGACCCTACTGGGAAACAGAGATTTGCTTCTTACAGACGTTTGTCTCTATCAGATTATTATAAGGCGTTCCTTCAACTTCTCCTTAGGCGTTATCCTTGCACCTGTTGCTCTGTATGTCTGTGTGTGGGTGCATGTGTGTCTGTGCCTGTGTTGAGTTTTCAAGATGCCAGACACCACTTTTTGTTTCATTTCCCATGTTGGGTTTTTATCAATGCTCAAACAGAAAGCCTGACATTCAAGGGCTTTATCTGCAGAGTTAGATGAGGAGAGATATACAAGAAGGAGAAAACTATTATTTGTTATTTTTTTTAAACAGAATAGCTGAACAAATTGTGAAAAATGAGAAAAAACCTAAATTATGCTAAAGAGAAAGTGTGTTTTTTAATCTGTTGAACTTCTTTTCTCTTTTGCACAAGTAAATCATATATAGGTTAAAATAATTATGAAACTTGGAATTTACCCAGTTGTGTAGTAGGTAATTACAAAATTTGCTTTGTTTAATTATGTGGTATTTTATAGAAGGACATTTTTAACCTTTGTCACTAGTGCCAAATGGAAGGAGGCACAGCCCTTCATAATAAGTATCATAATTCTAATTGCATCTAAAGTTTATTTAAAAGCAATTCATTTTTAAAGACATACTCTAATTTGTGTACTTTTTTTTTAAGTAGGTAAAAATTGCTGAAGTAAATTGGTTTGTGGTAACAAAAATAAAATAAGAACAAGTGCTTGTTAAAATCTGTTCCACTATTCAAATTCCCCAAGTCCATCTCTGGTTAATGTAGACACCACAAATTCCTTTCTAAAACATGAAGCAAGGCTTTCTATAATCTAGTAGCTCATTAGAGAAGATCAGAGGATTTCAAAGTGTACTTTAAAAATCAGAACTAAAGTACTGTATTTAAAAGGAAGATCAAAGTGGACACCATGTCTGGAAGATCCTTTGCATATATTATTCCTCTGCATTATTATCAGAAGTGACTTCCATTGACATTCACTGTAAGTCCATGTACCTGCTAATGAGAGATTAAACAGTAACACCGACCACGTTCATTCATTTGACACGATTCTTGAGTGACTTACATGCAAAGCAATGAAACCCAATATTGTTTATTGTGTCCTTGTCAATTCTTTTGTCTTTGAACTACTACCACTGAAGAAGCACTTTCAAGAGAGAAGGTATGGACTGGGGGTGCAGCTCAGTGGTGGAACACTTGTTTAGCATGCACAAAGTCCTGGGTTCAATCCCTAGCATGGCTAATTAAAAGAAGAAGAAGAAGAAGAAATGAGAAAGTATGACACTTTGCATACTATGTCTTGAGGCCAGGATCATTTAAAATCATTAAAAGAAGTAGAAAATATGTTAAAATTTCTAAAGGTATTAAATGTGAATTAAAGTATGTGCAAATATTTATGGAGCATCTCGTGTGGGATACAGTGCTACACAGAGCAAGTTGTGCCAAAGAGAATAAATATGGTCTTCCTCTTTGAGGAGGCCTTGGCCTAATGGGAGAGAATAGATGCATTTTCACAATATTAAAAAAGCAATAAGAAGGGGAAAGATGAAGTGCTATGTGAGCACAGTGGTAAGGAACAACTGTTGGGGACATGGGAAGGACTTCTGTGGAGACCCTTGGAGGCAGAGCTGGACAGGCAGGAGTCCAGGCATGCAGAGGGAAGAGCCTTCACAGCAGCAACACCCAGGGCCAGGCTGGAGGTGGGAAAGTGCACTGGGTGTTTAAGGAACCCTTGGGGTTTCAGGGTAGCTGGGCTAAATGATCACTTTGGGAATGCAGGAAAGGGAGAAGAAGGAAATGATCTGAAAGTGAAGATCTGAGTTTGTGGTCCTAATTATTAATCATACGCATTTGGAGGTCACTTTTTGGAACCTTAGCTTTTTCATGTCCAAAAGGATGGAGTTACTTTCTGTTCGTAGAATAAGCTAGTTTATGCTGCAATAACAAATAATCCCTGAAACTTAGTGGCATGAAACAATGCAAATGAAATATTTCCTAATATCACAGTCCTGTGTGGTTTGGAGGGCTGGGGAGACAGGATATGGAATCCTGCTACAGGTGCTTTAGGTACCCATCTTGGGATGTCATTGTCCTTATGTAGGTCTCCCATCATCACAGGAAGAGGAGGAGGGACAGAGTGTGGAGGGTCTTTTAGGGACCAGGCCTAGCAAGAAGTTAAATCTGCCCACACTCCATAGGCCATAACTAGTCACATGGCTCTGGTGAGATGTCAGAGGCTTAGAAAGAGTTGTTGGTGTGCCCAGGAGAAAATGAAATGTGTTGGGAACATACAGCAGTGCTCTGTGTCTCTAGCCTCCCTGTGGAGATGATTTATCTATGAAGAGGTGGGTAATGTGAATCACTCCTCTCATCCTAGCATTTTAAGACTGGAAACATAGACGGAGCCGAGACATCCAGCTCCTTCAATAATTGTAAATTAGGGATTTATAGCTTACTCCATAGCCTATGGGGTACATTTTGGAGCTCCTGAAGAGGGGGGTAACTTGAACACAATTGTGCTTTGGAAAGATTGGAGAGCTGACCATAGCCCAGGGAGTCCTGGAAAAACCCATGTACAACATCTACTAGAGATTTTTCAATGTGGGGATTATCCATTTCTCTTCAATTCTAAGGAAATGATATTTACATTTTTTGTAACTTTTCCTTTTTTTAAAGATAAGCTAATTAATTTATTTTTCATTTTATAATTTATTTTTAACTGATACATTAAAAACAAAATTTGTACACGTTAATGGTACCATGTAATGTTTCCATACAGGTATATACTTTATAATGTTTAAATCAGGTTAAACCGATCTATTTTCTCAAATATTTTCAATATTTTTATGGTAAAAACTTTCAAAATTCTTTCATCCTGCTTTTAAATGTATATATACTACATTATTATTATTATCTATTATAACCCTACTGTACAAGAGCACTTCAGTACTTTCTGCATCTATCTAAGTGTAACTTAGTACCCACTGATCCATCTTTCCCTAACCTTCCCTTCTTTTCTCCCTGGCCTCTGGTAACCACCATTCTATTTCAACTTCTATGAAATCTACTGTTTTAGATTCCACAGGTGAATGAGATCATGTGGCACTTGTCTGTCTGTGCCTGGCTTCCACATTCTCTGGTTCCACTCATGGTGTTCTGTTTTATGGTTGAATAGTGTTCCATTGTATATATGCACATTTCTTCATTCATCAGTTGATGGACACTTAAGTTGTTCCTATTTATTGGCTATTGTGTATAGTGCTGCAATGACCATGGGAGGGCAGATAAGTCTCTGATATACTGATTTTGTTTTCTCTGGATATACACCTAGTAGTGGTATAGCTACTTTAGATTTTTGAGGACCCTCCCTACAAATTTCCATAAGGGCTATACTAATTTACAGTCTTACCTACAGTGTGGAAGTGTTCCCTTTTCTCCACATCTTCTTCAGCACTTGTTACCTTTAGTCTTTTTGATAATAGGTCTTCTTATTAGGCTGAGGAGTCAACTTCTAATTGACAGAAAATAATTGTGTTTGTTTATGGGATACAATGTGGTGTTTTGATCTAGTTATATATTATAGACAAATTAAATCAAACTAATTAATATATCCATTACCTTACCAACCTATCATTTTTCTGTGGTGAGCACATTAAAAATCTATTCTTTTAACAACTTTTTTATAACTTTGTTTTATTTATTTATATTTGTATGTGGTCCTGAGGATTGAACCCAGTGCCTCACACATGCTAGACAAACGCTCTACCACTGAGCCACAACCTCAGCCCAGCAATTTTGAGATATACAATACATGGTTGCAAACAGTGGACACCATCCATTGAAACAAACAGATCACTAAAAAAAAAACAAAAACATTCCTTAGTCTCATGTCTGTGATCAATATCTTTCCCTTCCTTGTCACCAGGCTCTGACAACCCCTTCTCTATTCTCTGTCTCTAGGAGATCAACTTATTTAGGTTCCCCTATGAAGGAGCTCATAAAGTATTTGTTTTCTTTTGTTCCTGGCTTATTTCATTTAGGACAATAGACTTCGGTTTTATCCATGTGACATAAGTGACAGGGTTTCCTTTTTTTGTAAAGGCTGTGTCGTAGTCCATTGTGAATAGCTACCACATTTTCTTTACCCAGTCCTCTGCTGATGCACACTTTGGTTGCTTCCATATCTTGGCTACTGTAAATCATGCTGCAATGAATATGGAAGTGCAGATGTCTCATTTACCCACTGACTTCAATTCCTTTGGGTATTTAT